ATAGAAGCCATAAAAAGTGTTGGCCATAAAGTGTATAGGATCCATAAGTGAAAAGGCCTAAGTGAAACCATGGTGTAATAATAAAAGCAATTTTTAAAAAGGGAAACGTGTTAAGGAGGCCTTTGTTACAAAAGCTTTGAAATTGACGAATTTCAGGCTGATAAATGACAAAAGTACATAAGCAACAATATTTCAGTGATCACGGTTTAAATTACATACAGAAAAAGGGAGTTTTTGTTTTTGGAGTGAACAGAGTTCACCGGAGAATGCAGAGTTTTATCTAAAGTTGAGCTATGAGAGCTTTCGTGAGTTATTTACATTTTTTTTACCGAGTTTTATCTACAGTTGAGCTATGAGAGGGTTGTATCCAACAGTTGTTTTTGTTTTTTAGAAAGAGATTTTGAGTTTAAATTAGTTTGCTACCTCGATAAAATAGAAGCGTACGTTAAAGACAAGAGTGCCTTTTGTTACAAGTGTGGAAAGTGATCACTTCTAGATTTGGATGACAAAAGTATAAAGAACAACATCAGTTATATTCGCTTAACAAAGTAATCTTGAAAGTTATTCTTCTGTATCTTTCTGCCTGTGTGTGCGCGTCTGTGTGAAAGGAAACCCCCCCGCCCTCGCTGCTGCTGAGCTGCTGCTCTGATTTAAAGGGGAGCTACTGCTTTAGGAATTTGGCTTTTCATAGTAGTTATTCCGTTAAATTTGCTAAATTTGCCATTTGAACATTGTGTTAGACACAGTTAAACGTTTTTAAACACCATTAGGGAATAGAAGTTTTGAATTAGTATGTTTTTGAAACCCAAAGATTAGTACAAAAAGCTTTGCTTTTCTTTTTAAATATGCTGCTTATTTTGTGAGTCCATTATTGCATCTCTGATATATTTCATAGCTGTTAGTGAGAATTTTTTCATGTATTTTTTATTTTAGTTACAAAAGCCGTTTTTCAAACATTTAAATTAGAATCTGTTAAAAGTGATTAATGATTGTAGACTTCGTCTAAAAAAGAAAGAGGGAATTAGGCTGTAAAAGTATTATATTATTAAGTTAAACTACCCAATTCACATGCAAGTGGTGACTTTTGTTTTTGTTTTGACTACACGCGTGACCTTGCTGCTGCTCAGAGACATGAGGAGGCAGCTCCGACGCACAATTGAGTTTTATTGAACCAAATCCAGTTTAGCTGGAGCTAAATCTTTTGTTTGATTTCAAGTTTTGTTTTAAATGTTTTTACAAATTAATGTTCATTTTTATAGAGATTTTTCATAATTTCATTTCATGGCGTCTTTCAAGAAACCCAAGGACGCATAGATAATTAATCACACAGTACAAAAGTATATAATACATGTTTTAAAGTTTAAAAGGTTGTTTGTTTTGAGTATAATTGTTGTTTTGATAACTTCTTTAGTTTCTGGTTTTAAAATGTCATCATTAGTAAGAGAATAAGTAATCTTTATTTACATAGCGCTTGGGAAAGCCAAGAGCGCTCAAATTGTTTTGACTTCAGAGAGAAAAACAATCTCATTCGCATACTGATATCTATTGTTTTTTTAAATTGGCTGTTTCAAGGATTGTTTTTCAGACTCTGGCACACTGTGGGAGGGGTCACTGCTGGACACTGGACAGCGCAAAGCCCACCCAGCCACAGGTCACAGATCAAAGAGCAAAGGAAAATGCCACCTCCTTGCCCCTCCCCACGCCACTGCAGAACTGAGTGGGTGTGAGAGAGACCGGGGCCATGAAAGAGAGGTATCTGGAGACGTGATGGGTGGAGCGTCAGGTAGAGACCTAGAGGGAGTTGAAGAGTGTGTCCAGTTGGTTTACATCACCACAGTGTGACCTTTGACACCTACAGGTGGTTCGTGGAGTCTTGAGAAACAACCCCAAAATTCATATACACACACACACTCACACATTCACATTTACATATAGATACATGAAAAAGCAGAACATGAGAAAAAAGCATTTTAAAAGTTTACTCCAATGTAAACACATATTTAATTGTCTATCACTTGAATCTTTATTTGAATCAGTATTTTTTGAGACCAGAAATGTTCATTTGAATTCTATATTGTCATGGACTTAATTGACCTCTGTCCTGACACTTTTGATTTGTTGATTTTGTACTGTGTGAAGTAATTACATTGATGAGAATTAGATCTGATAAAAACACAAATTAGAGAAGTAAACTGAATCATTGCGCTTGCTTTTGTCTGAGAGACATTAGCAACAGCATGAATAGAAATTGTGTTAAAGTAGAATCAAAGTGACTTAACCATAGAGAGTAACTATTGCATAACAAGCTGTGTACAGGAACTGAGACACTGCACCATTGACCAGAAGTGCATCGCAAATGACCTGATGTGCTTCAAGTGAAAAGACTGTATCTGGAGATCTGATGTCCAACTGGAGAGACCAAAACTATGGCTTGGACCCTACTGATGTCCAAGATGACCTGACCTGATGACGACTGAGACTCACCCTCAGGGGACCCTGAGGACCTGAGGGCCTGAGAGAGAAAACTGGGGAGTGATGTTTATATTTTTGAAATCATACATTGATGAGTGCTAAATGAGAGAGATACTCATGATTCTTTCTTTTGTTTTTGTTTGTCCCTAGCTTCTGGACATCTGATGATCTATTGGACACAGCCATTTGCAGAACAAGAACCAGCCAATGAAAACGTCTATTGCCGATGCTATTGCTACAACCAGAACCTGTGACCAAATGCAATATAAATGTTAAGTATTCAGACATCTGACAGACAAAAACTTTGACTTTTTTTGTCTGGGAGACTGAGCAACTGTTAAAATGTTTTAAAATGATAAAGTATGAGTATTGTAGCGTTTTAGTAGATGTTAAATAGTAGTAAAAAAGTAGAATTGTCCTTTCTTTGTTGTTCATAAACACATTTCCACGTAAGAGTTAAAATAGTTCCATAAAATGTTATCTTTCTGATAGAGCAGCTAGAATATTAGAATCAGAGTTATGTTAGAGACATTAAAAGTGACAGAAGTCACAAATTAGAAATATGCCTTTGCTCAAACTGCAGCCAAACTTTAGAGTCACAATAGTGTAGAAATAGGAATAGATAAATGCATCAACCATAGCTTTCAAAAATAGAGAATATTCTTAGCCAGTGCTAATATCAAATGGTAAAGGGACCATTTCACAAGCATTTACTTCAAAAGTAGATAAAGTTAAGTACAGTTTTATTAGATACTTGCCAAATTCACTTGTGTTCAAACATGAGTGAATGTTGACAATGCAAAAGTCCATATGAGTGTAGCCTAGATTAATGCCTAGATCAATGAGATAGATTAGAACCAACAGAGATTCAAAAGCATTTAAAAGCATTTTGATGTATTTGGGTATAGCACAAAAACACAATAGTAGATATTTAGATATTGAGAAGTTTCCAGCACAAACACCATTGTAGAATAACTGACCCCAACCCCAAACCTGCTAAAATAGATTAGCTCTTGTAAGGATAATAATAATTTGATTAAAGATGTTCATTCATCCCAAACTGCCTGACAATAATATCTTTAGATAATAAAAAGTAATAAATCACTGACCACTATAGAAGTGTAAATGTTGACCATTTGCCTTACTGTGTTCACAGTTTTATTCCTGAGAATGAGAATAGACATGGAGCAAAATCCCACTGATAATAAGCCACTGATAATGAGAGTGTAAAACTACAGAGAGATTTATTAGATTAAAATGTATGTTTAAGAATATGGCTCAATAGAAGCAAATATACAAACATATTTGTAAATAGATTAGAATAGTTTTAAACTATAGTGAATAGTGAAAGTAAAGTACACAGTCTAAGATTGAAAAGTGAAAATAATACAGTGAAATAAGTGAAGTGTAGTGTAAACAATTATCATTAGAATAAAAGTATAGAGTAATAAAAGTGAAATTAGCTTCTAATTTGAGACTCAGCTCGTTTTTGTCTGTGTTTTGACTGAATCTGCTGAGTTCTTGTGTGTCCAATAGTTTTTGTTTTTTTTTATTTTTGTTTGTTTTTATTTTTGATTTTTTTTTTGTTTGTTTATTTACTTTTTTTTTGTTTTTTATTTTTTCCCAGGATAGAGGATAAAATCCACTGATATTGATTTGATGATTATGAGTTTAATGCATACATTTTCTTTGTTTTTAATAATTTTTTGAAGTTTTTTTTGGAATTTTTTTTTTTTTTCTTTTTCCACTTTATTGATTGATCAAATTGAGTGATCACATGTGACTTTGTGATCAAAGGGGAGGGTATTAGTATTAGATAGCAATATGGCCTACGTGCAGGACTGTACAAGGACTCTACAAGGACTCCATGTTATGACTATGATGTGACTGTCTCTTTGTGACACGTATGTCTTTCGATGTGTGACGTGACAATGACTATATAAACTGTGTACTGCCTTTATTCTGTCTGAGGGAAAGAAACAGAGTAAACTAATGGAACTTGAGAGAAACTTAAATAAACTTCCAGAGTTTGGCACACCACGATCCGTCTCTGTCTGCTAAATCCTAACAGTAATAATATGACTAATAATAATAATCATAATAATAATCATAATAATAATAATAATAATAGATGAATGCTAATATATGCTTATACTGAATATTAGAATATAAACTCAAATGAATCTCCCCAAACATCCCCTCTTCTGGACCTGCCATGGTTCAGGCCATAGGGTGGAGCCTGGAGGTAACACCCTCAGCTGGAGTGGGTGGAGTCAGCTCACAGGAGTGTGAGCTCCAATTGTGAGGGAGGAGTCAGCCCTCACACAAACAAATAAACACATTTTTCTAAAAGATACAAACAATAGTAATAAAGTAATGAAGGCGATGAGCTGCTTCAGATCCTTTTATTTTATCGTCTTCCAGAGGAGAAATATTTCTCTGGGGGATGTTTGCAGAGTCTGCTTGGTTTGGACCATGTTCTCTGCTCTGGTTCAGAGTGAATTTCTGTGTGTGTGTTGTTTGCACAGATGTGGATGAGTGCTGGCGTTCCACTGGGCGTCTGTGTTCTCAGACCTGTGAGAACACTCCAGGCTCCTACCACTGCTCCTGCACCAGCGGCTTCTCCCTGGGGCCCGACGGCAAGACCTGCCAAGGTAGGACAGGAGGATCAGGGTCAGGGGTCAGGGTCAGGGGTCGGGGCCAGGCTCAGGATCAGGATCAGGGGTCAGGGTTAGGGGTCAGGGGTCAGGGTCAGGGGTCAGAGTCAGGGTCAGGATCAGGATCAGGATCAGGGGTCAGGGGTCAGGGTCAGGGTTAGGGGTCAGGGTCAGGAGGCCTCACTCTCACACTGTGGGGAAACAGAGAAATACAACAGTAAAGCTTCAGGTTTATACAGTGCTTTGGACACAAAAAGTCTCTTCACATTATTACTCATTCTCTCCAAACACAGTGGTGACTACTGTAGCCACAGCTGCCCTGGGGCACACTGACAGAAGCGAGGCAACCAGTCTGTGCCATCGGCCCCTCCCACCACCACCAACCATTCACACACACACCATAACCGTAACCCTCACCAGTTTCATGTTCTGCAGTCGCAGTCTCCCACTGTGGCACCTGGTGTTCCCAGAGGTCTCCCATCACAGCACTAACCAAACCCTGCTCTGCTTAGCTTCCATCTGGCTGGCTTCCACCTGCAGTTATGGCCACAGTGTGTTACATGCTCATCATTCACTGATCGTATCAAAGGGAAAATCGTGTAAACACAACTCAGTATTGTTTATATTCAGGAGAAAGACGTGATGAGAATCTGAAACAGTTTAATCCTGAAGCTCTGAAGTGATGCAGATCTCAGTCTATACCCCAGTTTATATAAAGTCTGTGATGAACCTGCAGCGGCTCCAGACTGAGTCTCGTTCTGAGAGAGAGGTTTTTATGAAGAAACAGTTTTTACTAAACGTCAAAGTCAGAGTCGATAAAGTTCACTGTAGTTTTACAAACAACGACACCGAGCTCCGGAAACTTCTCAAACTGGGCTCAGATTAGATTCTCTTGTTGTAGAGATAGTTTCTAATGTTTGTTTCAGATGTGTGACTTTGTGGGTTAGGGTTAACACATGTTTAAAAGAGGTTAGAATATCTCAGATTTCAATCAACAAAGTGAAATCGTTCCCTACCAATCAGTGTATTCATGGACATTTATTCATTATTCATTATTATTAAACTGATTCAGCTTGGATCAGTTTTCTCATGTCAACAGAAGACTCCAAAAGCCACAAATAACCCTTTTTCCTGTAACGTTTCTGTGTGAGGTTGATTTTCAGCTCACTCACCTGTGCACCGGTTTTTGGCCAAAAAATGATTTCAGAGAAAACACAGTTCTCTTTGGGGAAAAGGCTCGACTGGACCTGACCCTGAACAGCTCACACTACACTGTTAAATAAGCCACAAGCTGCTCAAACTTTATAATGAATGAATTGTGATGAATGGATGAACTTGTTCTTGTTTGTGTCCATTAGACGTAAACGAGTGTGAGAAAAAGCCCTGCAGCCAAGAGTGCGCCAACACACACGGATCGTACCAGTGCTACTGCCGCCAAGGCTACCAGCTGCAGGAGGACGGGCGCACGTGTGAAGGTACAGACCAGATACAGACCAGAACCAGGTACAGACCAGATACAGACCAGAACCAGGTACAGTACAGACCAGATACAGACCAGAACCAGGTACAGACCAGATACAGACCAGAACCAGGTACAGTACAGACCAGATACAGATTTTTTTCCCATTAAAAAAAACATAAAAACCACTTTGGAACACATGTTTCTGGTCTCTCTCTGGTCTCTCTCTGGTCTCCCTCTCTGGTCTCCCTCTGGTCTCCCTCTGGTCTCTCTGGTCTCTCTCTGGTCTCCCTCTGGTCTCCCTCTGGTCTCCCTCTGGTCTCCCTCTGGTCTCCCTCTGGTCTCCCTCTAGTCTCCCTCTGGTCTCTCTCTGGTTTCTCTGGTCTCTCTCTGGTTTCTCTCTGGTCTCCCTCTGGTCTCCCTCTGGTCTCTCTCTGGTCTCTCTGGTGTCTCATTACTGTTGTGGTTGTTGCAGATATAGACGAGTGTTCTCAGAGCATGGGGAGTCTGTGTGCGTTCCAGTGCATTAATGTTGTGGGCAGCTACAAGTGTGCGTGTCCCCCGCAGGGATACACAATGGCGGCCAACGGACGCACATGTAAAGGTCAGAGACACACAAAGAAAGAGTGGACTCCATACACAGCTGCCCTGGGGCACACTGACAGAAACGAGGCAACCAGTCTGGGCCACCGGCCCCTCCCACCACCACCAACCATTCACACACACACCAGACTCATTCCAATGTGGGGGAAGTGTCTTGCCTAAGGACATGTTGCTCCGCCCCTTCTGCCTCAGTCCTGTATGATGTCATTGTTCCACTATAACAGTTTTTAAAGTTAAAAAAAGTCCTGCTCATAGCATTGGTAATCTCTCAGGTGAAAGGACGTTCATTACAGATGCATGGCTTTAACAGCTCCCTCTGGTGGTAGCGGAGGGAGTTACAGGCAGAAAGCCTTGTTTACCTTTAAACTAGGTTTACTGCGTATGTTCTATTTAAGATATGATTTTACAAACTGACTTCTATGAATTATAAAACCAAATGAAGGAGGGTCTAAGGACAGAGATGATCCAGGACTCTCACAGTCAATCTATTAACAGTAGTACATCTAACAAATCGTGTGTGTGTGTGTGTGTGTGTTACAGATGTGGACGAGTGTGTATCCGGTTCCCATAACTGCTCCGTTGGACAGAGCTGCTATAATCTTCAGGGCAGTTTCAGATGTTTGTCCTTCCACTGTCCCCACAACTACAACAGAGTCACCGACATGTGAGGATGCACAAACACACTCTGCACACACTGTCCCCACAACTACAACATAGTCACCAACATATGAGGACGCACACAAACACACTGTCCCCACAACTACAAAAGATTCCCAAACATGTGAGGACGCACACATACACACAAATACACTGTCCCCTCAACTACGACAGAGTCACCGACATGTGAGGATGCACACATACACTGTCCTCACAGCTACAACAGTCACCGACATGTGAGGACGTACACAAACTCACTGTCCCCACAACTACAACAGAGTCACCGACATGTGAGGACACACACACAAGCATACACACACTGTCCCCGTAACTACAACAGTCACCGACATGTGAGGACGCACAAACACACTGTCCCCACAACTACAACAGAGTCATTGACATGTGAGGACACACACACAAGCATACACACACTGTCCCCGCAACTACAACAGAGTCATCGACATGTGAGGACGTACAAACACACTGTCCCCACAACTACAACAAAGTCACCGACATGTGAAGACACACACAAACACCTAAACACACACACACTCTCTCTTTCACACACTCACACACTGTCCCCTCAACTTCAACAGAGTAACCAACATATGAACACACACACTCGCACACACACTGTCCCCACAACTACAACAGAATCACTAATATGTGAGGACACACACACACAGAGCGGACTCATACCAGGCAATGTGGGTAATTATTTCTAAGTAAAAATAGAATCTTCACTCTTTTACCTTCATATTGAGCGTGGTCTCACACTAGTGCCATCAGTGACCCACACAGAGACACACACACATACACACACACACAGACTCACACAGACACACACACAGACCTGGTTTACAGGATGTTGGCTCTGCTTCCCTGATACTTTCCACATGGATTGGTCGATCCTTACAACATTCTGTGAACAATGCAGGATCAATTCTTGTTGGAGACTAAACTTAGAAAACAGATCCCCTCCTTCAGTTCAGTCATCCGCAGCTGCACTGAGGTCATACTGCCGTGTTCCCCTCCAGGCGCTGCGAGAGGACCAGCTGCCCGCCCAACTCCCTGGACTGCCCCAGCTCCCCGGTGCGCATCACCTACTACCAGCTCAGCTTCCAGACCAACATCATCGTCCCGGCTCAGATCTTCAGGATCGGCCCCTCCCCCACCTACGCCGGCGACCACATCGTTATCCGCGTCTCCAAGGGCAACGAGGGCGGCTACTTCAGCACCAGAAAACTCAACAGCCACACAGGCGCGGTCCTCCTCCAGCGGCAGGTCACAGAGCCACGCGACTTCCTCCTGGACGTGGAGATGAAGCTGCTCCGACAGGGCGCCGTCACCACCTTCCTCGCCAGAATCTACGTCTTCATCACATCCAGCCCCAAGTGACCACACCCCTTTACACATGTAACCACACCCCTTTACACAAGTGACCACACCCCTTTACACACGAGACCACACCCCTTTACACATGTGACCACACCCCTTTACACATGTGACCACACCCCTTTACACACGTGACCACACCCCTTTACACACATGAACATACCCCATTACACAAGTGACCACACCCCTTTAAACAATTGACCACACCCCTTTACACAAGTGACCATGCCTCTTTACACACGTGACCACACCCCTTTACACATGTGACCATACCCCTTTACACATGTGACCACACCCCTTTACACAAGTGACCACACCCCTTTACACGCGTGACCACACCCCTTTACACATGTGACCACACCCCTTTACACATGTGACCACACCCCTTTACATGTGACACAGACCTTTAAACATGTGACCACACCCCTTTACATGTGACCACAGACCTTTACACATGTGACCACAGACCTTTACACATGTGACCACACCCCTTTACATGTGACACAGACCTTTACACATGTGACCACACCCCTTTACATGTGACACAGACATTTACACATGTGACCACACCCCTTTACATGTGACAGACTTTACACATGTGACCACAGCCCTTTACATGTGACCACAGACCTTTACACATGTGACCACAGACTTTTACACATGTGACCACAGACTTTTAAACATTTGACCACACCCCTTTACACACGTGACCACAGACATTTACACATGTGACCACACCCCTTTACATGTGACACACCCCTTTACACATGTGACCACACCCCTTTACATGTGACCACAGACCTTTACACATGTGACCACACCCCTTTACACATGTGACCACAGACCTTTACACATGTGACCACAGACATTTACACTTGTGACCACAGACCTTTACACATGTGACCACAGACCTTTACACATGTGACCACAGACATTTACACTTGTGACCACACCCCTTTACACATGTGACCACACCCCATTACACATGTGACCACATCCCTTTACACCCGTGACCACACCCCTTTACACACGTGACGTGACCACAGACCTTTACACCCGTGACCACACCCCTTTACACACGTGACGTGACCACAGACCTTTACATACGTGACCACACCCCTTTACACATGTGACACAGACCTTTACACATGTGACCACAGACCTTTACACATGTGACACAGACCTTTACACAGACCTTTACAGACTTGTGATGTCACATGGTGCTAAGTGCAGCAGAAACATCAAACTGAATCTGTCTGAGAACCTGAGGAGCACCAACCCCTGGACTCTAAAGCTGAGGCTCAGTAGTTTTGGCCCTGACGACTCGTTTACTCTAATTATTAAGATTAAGAGATTCTTTCTTGGTCCCACAGAGTCCAGATTATGAACCATTTCTGTAAAGATCGATATCAAGATCCAAAGTCTTCTGGCGTCACATGCTCCAGATGAAGGTGTGCAGCGGCTGAGGCGAAAGAACAGTTCAAACCAGAAACTTGCTCTACCATGTATGAACCGTCTCACCTGGTTTTCAACAGGGTCCTCATGAATTGTCAATTTTGCCGATTGCTTTTGTTGAATGAGAGCTGAAAGAAGTCCTCACTCTCATAAATCTCATATAATATCTCATGAATATTCAGTATTTTGTGTTAGAGTAAAAACGGCGTATTACCTCATGGTGTTGTTTCAGTGTTATATATGGTGCTTTATATTTTTATTTGTATGAAAGTGTTTTGAAAAAGCATTATTTACTTTTCAGCCGTTTTGACTTCTGCCTCCAGTGGAAAGTTTCTATATTTGACTAAAAACATCTCAATGTTCGATGTTGTGTTAGAATCTTAAAACCATCACATTCATTTTCAACACGTGAATTATAAAAAGTGAAAACTCTGCTTTGTCTGATGCTGTAAATATCGTTTATTATTAATAATAATAATGTATTGGTTTTATACAGCGCTTTTCTGGACTCTCAGAGACACATCATTATTCTCTCTCTCCAAACACAGTGAAGCTAAACTACTGCTGTAGCCACAGCTGCCCTGGGGCACACTGACAGAAGCAGGCATCAGCCAGTGCCATCGGCACAGACCGGTCTAACCTGCTCCCAACCTTTTCCAATGGAACCGCGCTGCCATCTTGTGGACAGTTAGTCAACTACATGTTCTGTCTGTACATCCAGTCGTTTCAAATAAATGCTTCCAATGTTGGACTTTATCTTTGCTCTTTGGCTTCAGTCGGAGGGAAACGCACAGATTACAGATTACAGATTACAGATTACAGATTATACTCCCACTGGGGAAAAGTGTTGGTTTCCACAGCTGTTGATCACACAGGAAGAGACACACACAGGAAACAGTTTGTGTTTAACCCCAAAGGAAAACCTTGGACTAAACTAAACTCAGACTCAGGTTCAGACTCAGACTCAGACTCAGACTCAGACTCAGGTTCAGACTCAGGTTCAGACTCAGGTTCAGACTCAGGTTCAGACTCAGGTTCAGACTCAGGTTCAGACTCAGGCTCAGACTCAGGTTCAGACTCAGACTCAGACTCAGACTCAGGTTCAGACTCAGACTCAGACTCAGTGACTTCATGTGCACCTGCAGAAAAACTTATTTTCAGTAAAACGGGTTTGGGAGCATTTTACTTAGATAAAACTATTTTCAATTTGACAAGTAAGAAATTGAAATGCTCTTGGACAGAGACAGAGTTTGATGATATGAGTTTCTGATGTTGTACCTTTGAGCCCTGTCAGTCTGCAGGACGACAGCACAGGGACCAGGAGGGAAAGGAAGAAGGACCATGATGATTTAAACCCAGAACCAGGAACAAGGGGAGAGGAGCACAGGTACATATAGACACAGAGACACAGGTACATATAGACACAGAGACACACAGGTACATATAGACACAGAGGTACATATAGACACAGAGAGACACAGGTACATATAGACACAGAGACACAGGTACATATAGACACAGAGACACAGGTACATATAGACACAGAGACACAGGTACATATAGACACAGGTACATATAGACACAGAGACACAGGTACATATAGACACAGAGACACAGGTACATATAGACACAGAGACACAGGTACATATAGACACAGAGACACAGGTACATATAGACACAGAGACACAGGTACATATAGACACAGAGAGACACAGGTACATATAGACACAGAGACACAGGTACATATATACACAGAGACACAGGTACATATAGACACAGAGAGACACAGGTACATATAGAAACAGAGACACAGGTACATATAGACACAGAGACACAGGTACATATAGACACAGAGAGACACAGGTACATATAGACACAGGTACATATAGACACAGAGACACAGGTACATATAGACACACAGACACAGGTACATATAGACACAGAGACACAGGTACATATAGACACAGAGAGACACAGGTACATATAGACACAGAGAGACACAGGTACATATAGACACAGAGACACAGGTACATATAGATACAGAGAGACACAGGTACATATAGACACAGAGACACAGGTACATATAGACACAGAGACACAGGTACATATAGACACACAGACACAGGTACATATAGACACAGAGACACAGGTACATATAGACACAGAGACACAGGTACATATAGACACAGAGACACAGGTACATATAGACACAGAGACACAGGTACATATAGACACAGAGAGACACAGGTACATATAGAAACAGAGACACAGGTACATATAGACACAGAGACACAGGTACATATAGACACAGAGAGACACAGGTACATATAGACACAGGTACATATAGACACAGAGACACAGGTACATATAGACACACAGACACAGGTACATATAGACACAGAGACACAGGTACATATAGACACAGAGAGACACAGGTACATATAGACACAGAGAGACACAGGTACATATAGACACAGAGACACAGGTACATATAGACACAGAGAGACACAGGTACATATAGACACAGAGACACAGGTACATATAGACACAGAGACACAGGTACATATAGACACACAGACACAGGTACATATAGACACACAGACACAGGTACATATAGACACAGAGAGACACAGGTACATATAGAAACAGAGACACAGGTACATATTGACACAGAGACACAGGTACATACAGACACAGAGACACAGGTACATACAGACACATGTGTCTGTATGTACCTGCCCTTGGGCAAGACACTTAACCCCACGTTGCCCAAAGTCTCCGCTGAAAGAACATGGCTGTGTCACCGCCTGCCGGAGGATCTTTGGGTGGCTTTAAACCCGACCCACAAATGGATTGATAAAGGGGATGAAAATGAATGAATGAATGAATAACCAAAAGATCAGTCGGACACATTGCCACCAACGAGATTAAATACATTAAATCTGGTTTTTCTGTGTTTTAGACCCATATGGACCCCTCTTTGGCCCCTTCGTCTCTGTTAGTTTCTGGTTTTGTTTTTAGAGATGGATGAAAGTTCATGTGTTCACCGCTGACTCAGACTCAGAGAAACCAGGACCTGAAAAACTGTTTAAAGTCATCAATGAATTCACATATTTATGGAGGTTCTGTGTGACTGCTCTGGGCTCCTTCTCCCAGAGGTTTAAAAATACACTTTTCCACAGTGTGTTGCCCACTCCCTACTGTCAGACTGTAGGAGGAGGACGCACAAACATGAGGCCCACGCCCTACTGTCAGACTGTAGGAGGAGGACGCACAAACATGAGGAAAAAAGATAAAGTCTGTGTTTTTAGTGACGTCCGGAACCTGAGCCTCCCACACGCTCTTTATCTGTGGCTCTAGTCTCTCTCTGCTCCTGAGGCCACAGCACCAGACCGGAATGAGACCAACTCAGACCATAATGAGACTAACCTTGACCGGAATGAGTCTTCTTGTTGTGTCTAAACTGAGGATAATAAATAATCAGGCGGCGCAGTATGAATCCAACCACTAGAGGGCAGCAGAGCGTGGAGCAGGGATGTGCTGCACAT